ACTTCGGTTTGCCAAAGTCTATAATTAGCGACCGGGATGTGCGATTTACCAGTGAATTGTGGAAGGCTGCAGCTGTAGAACAAGGAACACAACTGCAGATGACCTCCGACAACCACCCAGAGGCAAACGGGCAAGCGGAGCAGCTGAACTGTGCTGTTCAACACCTACTGAGGCATTACATCAAGCCCAATCAGGTGGACTGGTATGAGAAACTTGCTCTCATCGCCAGTTTGTATAACAACGTCGTGCACAGCGCAACCGGGGTGATCCCCAACAGTTTGCTACTGACTTTTAAACCTAGACTGCCCTTAGATTTTCTACTACTTGAGACTCAGCCTTCTGCTGCACCAGGCACCCTGAAGTTTGCATATCGATATGAGCGCCTGATGCAGCAAGCCGTAGAACAGATGCACAGGGCACAGGCGACGATTATAGAGTCTGAGAACAAGCACCGCCGCCCATCTACATTCCAGGTACGGGACAGAGTCCGGGTCAAGTCCTCATAACTGGGACAAAAGCACGGGATATCCCGCAAGCTCATGCCACAATACTTTGGACATTGGGAGGTTCTAGATATCGTCGGGGATGATCCGGATGGGCCGTCATATGTAGTTCAGATCCCTGGTCACCTTCGCACTTACCCAATCTTTCACGCCTCCAAGCTTGCACCTTCCAAGGAAACTGATCAGTTTCCCTCGCGACGCTCAATACTGCCCCCAACCATGGATGGAGAGGTGGACATCGACGACATCGTGGACCATAGGCAAATGCAAGTTCCAAGACCGACAGGCAGAGGACGTCCTCCCAAGCCGTAGCTGCAATATCGTGTTCGGTTCAGACATCACATTGATCCTAAGGAGGGAAGATGGTTTACCCGGGAGGAACTGATGCAGACCGCTCCACAGGTTGTCGCTCACTACGAGAAGTTACTGCAGAAGGGAAAGCGCCAAATTGAGTAATGGAACTTCGCAGAGGACTGTCCAAGTAGGGAGGAGGGAATGCGAGGCATAAGGCGCCGATGAGCCCCCTTTCCCCCCTGTAAGCAGCACAGTCGGCCGCACTGAGTGAAGGCAGGCCCGACCGAGGCGAAGAGGCCTATTTTTCGGCTACCACGCAACTGGGGAAATTCAGGCAGTTGCGCAGTGCCAATTGGTTGAGAGTGCCCAGGCCCAGGGTGCCTTTTTCGTACGTAACTGAGGCAGGCCCTGGACCAGTTACACACAAGGGCCGAACACAGGCTGCGGGCAGTTGGGCACAAGCAACCGCCACATGCCCTGGGCCTGATTTGTTTGGACCGGGGCTCAGCCACTCTGGCCCTACCGGAAGCTTCTGGGCAGGGGCCCAGCGCAGCCAGGCCACACGTAGCAGGCAGGCCACTTCCATTTAGGAAAGTGCCTGCCCTCGCATTGGGCATTCGGGCACTGAGTGCATGCTGCGCAAGCGCTGCTGCGCTAAACGCTGGCCAGCGCTCACGCGCTCATGGCCGAGCTGGATGAGCAGGCAGCTATAGCCGAGCTGCGCTGCACTATGCCGGATGGGGCGCATGGTGGTCCTTGGGTGCATGTGGCATCTGTGAGTGGGGGATCGAGGTTGTGAGTGATACGAGAGACATACCTGGCGCTTGAGGCGAACGGCATTGGCTGAGATCTGCTCATACTTCGGGGAGCTGTTGACGTCACCAGCGACATTGTAGATAGGCGAGATAGGATCTGCCATTTGTAATCTGGGTGCAAAGCGCCAGATAGGATGTCGACATTGGTTCATTGTTGATGATGATGAGACTATTCCAACATTGTCACTTGTGAGCTTTTGCTGTGCTCTTATTTGGTGGAACTCGTGTTGCAATTCTGCTTTTGGTTCGAGGTCACGACTATCTGGTTACATGTGTATGATGCTGCTTGGTTTCTGGGATTCGCTATCGCTCATTTTCCTTGCACAAAGGCCAAAAGGCATCACCACAAACTCGTACAGACTGTACCTGGTCTGGAATGCAGTTTTGTGCTGATCTTCTGGTCTAATAGCAATTTGATGGTAGTCAAACTTTAAGTCTATCTTTGTAAAGTACTTACATCCCTGCACCCTACTCAATAGGTCGTCGATGCGAGGTAGAGGCTCTGCGTTCTTAACAGTGATGGCATTGAGGCCTCTATCCTTAATGACCCCCCCTTCTTCGGAACGAAGAGTTCTGGTGAGCCGAAGGGGGAAGTGCTAGGCCGAATCCAAAACTTCTTTGTGAGCTCTTTCAGTTGCCGACGAAGCTCGTCCAACTCGGCCGGAGCCATCCTATAGATTCTCCCCGTTGGTGTTTAACTACTTGGGATTACCTCTATCTCGTGGACAACCTCCCTGTTTACGACTCCCGAAGGCACCTCAAACAGATCAAGGTACTTGACAACGATAGATTCTATCTCTGGGGGTGATTTAACGGCCTCCTCTTTCTCAAAGACGCATACTAAGTACATACCTTCCTCTGTTTTGTTTGTAATAGTTGTAGAATGCAGATGCACGCATGCACCCGTAGGAGTCAACTAACCTGCTAGCTCTATACCTAACGGTCCTCCCATCAGGCAACACAAGCTTAAGCACTTTTTGGTCCCAGTCAAACTGGGCTTGTCGTCGCTAATTAGGAACGAAATCCCACCTCCATACGAGAAGGTGCAGACTACGCACGTCCTTGACGTAGTCTCTGACCACCATGCACTCTTTGTTGGCTAGAGTAGATGCTACAGGGCTACTTAACCGCTGCACCCGGTCCCCTAGGCCTTTCAATGCAGTCACAACTTACAAAGTTTCGCGTGGTTTCCTCTCCAGTTCACTGCTTTTGGTGCCAGACTGGTTCCCTTTCGTATTTTCGTATTTTTGTATTTTTGCCAGTTTACTGCTTTTTGGCCCCAGACATTTCACCAGCTCACGTCTGGGGCCAGACTGTTCTTCCTTTCGGCCTAGGACACTAGGCCCAGTGTTATATATGGCTGGGCCAACCTCATTCTAGGCATGTAGTTCTGAGGTAGCATCAGTAGTCTTCAGTAGTCGACATGGTGGGCGCAGTAGCACTGAGGTAGGGAGTAGTCTTCCAGCGCTGGGCGCTGTGTTAGAGTAGTCAAGCTTGGTCTGCAGCACGCTACACTAGGAAGTTGAGGCTGGCGGAGGCCAGGGGATTTACCTGCGACTAACCTGGCGCCATTGCTTCGTCAGCTTCGTCCTCAGTACGTCCATACCTGCATCAAGGAGCCACCTTTCCGCAGGTCCATACCTGGATACATCACACACACACACACACACAGAGAGAGAGAGAGAGAGAGAGAGAGAGAGAGAGAGAGAGAGAGAGAGAG